CAGAAAATAGAAAATAAAAGTAAACATTCTCTGAAACAGAGCATGTTGCAGTTATGATACAGGTAGAGCAGGCATTTCTGCATTCTTCTGGGCAAATATTTCTCAGTTTTTCAGTGACAGATTAATTTTGTGTTTTAAACCTAAATATTGATGCATATAGTACAGTTTTATGTTTCAGATTTTGTTAATAAAAGTACAAAATAAAGGGCTATACAGGTTCTAGTTCTTACCATAGTCTTTCACTGAAGGTTCAGTGGAAGAGTTTATTTTCTCTGATACTCTAACATATACAAATTTATTATACTTTTCTTGTTGAAGGAGAAAAGAATACCCCAAAACATTATTTCCCCAAGTAATTTATGGCCACTTTTAAGATTTTTCTTATAGTGTGGCTCACGGGTGATGCTGTTATCTTTCAGTATCAGGAGGCCAACCATGTGCTACAACTTGTCTGCTTTTCCAAGGGAGGTAATAAATGAATTGAGGCCTTTAGATGCTATGATATTATGGGATTCTTTTTGTTGTTGTTATAGTGTTCACAGCTCTAGAATAAAAGTTTCCTAGAACTGTTCAGTAATAGTACCTAGTAGTGTATCAAAACTCATTGAAGGAATTTTTATGCCCGAACCTAAATGGCTACTGAAAAAATAGATTAGAATGAACTTACATGGTAGTTATTTAACAAAACAAGGAGTGGACATATAAGTTATTTACACCTGTGTGTTTTGGATCAGGACTAACAAATTTCTTGCATTTGTTTTAAATAGATTTTTTCCTTTCTTCCGTGTGATACTTAAAGGAACACTTACACATTCTCTTTGAACCCTTTTGCTTCACCTGTGAAACTCTCCGAAGATTGTGTGAACCATGGCCAGTCTTTGGGGAGTGGGGGAATAACCCAAGAACTGTGTTTTAAATAATGGCTGGTACACAGCTGAGAACTGGAAAAGCAGACAGAATAGACCTGCAAGGTAACTCTAGGTCTTGGTTTCCGTGTTTATAAGACAGAGTTAAGATGGCAAGTCCGTAACTAGTTAAAGGCTACAGAGTGAGTCAGTATCAGAGACAGTATTTCTTTATGTAAAAACTAGAGTCGTCTGTTGTTTAATAAACAGCAATAACTGATCTCAGAGCTGTCTTTGTTCCGTCCCTTTCTGAACTTCAACATGTTTCTTCAAAGGAAGGCTTTGCCCCATTGAGCTTTTGCCAGTGTCAATAGCAGCTGAATCCCAAACTCGAGGCATTCCTTTGCAAATGCCCCCTTAAGCCTGTCCTCCTTTTCCAATATCTTGACAGGTCTGTCTAAAAACTTTTAAAATAATACTAATCACATGGAGCACTTACAAAATTGGTAAATGAGTTGTTAATCTTTATTGTCGTTTTCACTTAGTTAAGACTGAAATAACGTGAAACGTGATATTCTGTGGTCTTTTTCCATCTCTGAGTGTTCCTGTTTGTGTGTGATGGATATCTGTTATTGGCTGATTTTCATGGGGCTCTTGGCACTGGGAGGCAGGGTGGGGAGATGATTCTAGACAAAAGAAGGTGCAACTTTGCTTACATAGTTGATTTCCTTAATCTGTCATGAATTAGGAGATCAGTTTACAGGCAGTGATAAATGGATCTCTAAGCACCTTCCTGATGTCTCTGGGTTTTTTTTTCCCCCTCTCTATCCTCATCAGAGAAGATAATAACCTTTTTCACACCACTGCAAAGATGTTAAGACCTAGTAACAGCAGTCTCAGTGCACATGGAGCAGGGCTAAGTTTCAAAAGGATTTAAAAAAAGGGCAGGGAGGGAGATGCTGCCCCGCAATCTCTACCCTAAAATAAACCTTTCTAAACTTATAATGTAAAATTTAGATGGATCTTTCTTGGTTAAAGAGCATTCTATGAACTAGTGATTTTACAAGTCTAAAGCAGATGCAATGTGTCATGCAATTTATGGGTCCTAGTACCTACCGTAAAGTATTTTATGACTGCTGCATTCGGTGTTATTAGTAGCTGTCTTTTTCTGCAGCTATTGGTGTTTGATAATACTCTTAAAACACCCAAAATTACTTACCTGCAAGCAACATTCCAGATAGTCCCTGTTGACAGTTTGAATAAGTTTAGTGCCCTTTTGTTGTACTTTACCTTCAAAACAAACTGATTGAACCGTCAATAGCTCCTGAGAGCTGACAGAGGCATGTCATCTGGTCTAACCCTCTGATAGTAGGTTATCGGTGGGAGTTAACCTCCCTGCATTGCTAACTGAAATGTTTTATGTACTATGCAACTTTAGGATACTGCTGTGATAACCTTCCTAACTAAGCCATACATCACAGTAAAGAGATTTGGTGCAACAAATAACCCTGGATTAAATTTACAAGGGTTGAATTGATATTGTAAAGTGTTCATTCCAGGGCTTTGGGAATCCTTTCCCGTAGTTTTTATGGCAAACTGGTGTTACCTTTAGATTGAGGCTGCATCTTCATATTTCTAGCTAAAACATAGCCAGGAAGCCTGGTGCATTTCCTCAGCCGTTTAATAAAAAAGTATTGTATTATTTTCATATAATACAGATTATTTTTATCCTACACTTAGTAAAAGGAGTATGCATAAATGGGATTCTATTTTGAATCACTTTTTGAAAGAATTCGTCGCTGATACATCTTTGTTCTACGGGTGGGATAACCTTCATGGTACTTACTTTTTAATATTTGCTCTCCTTAAGGAGAATTTAAAAATTGGGTTTTTTGTTTTTTTGTTTTTTTTTTTAAAAAAAAGCAACCCCAAACCTGTGACTTGTGGTGTATTTTGCTGTTTAGTCTAAGTGGGTAGGGTTTTGTGGTTTTGCTTTTGGAATTGGCAGGTACTGGTGCTAATTCTGTTTTTTTGAAGTGCAGTCAGGATGGCTTAAAAATACAAAAATACGTTTGTATCAAGGAATGCTATTATAATTTGAAGCTCTTTTGAAATGATTGAGAGACTGACATTAGGGCTGTGATCCAAAGTCAGCATAGATGACAGTGCTGTCTTAGTCTGTTGTCATTTTTGTTGCAGCCTGCTTTTCAATGGCATATTTCATTCCATCATTAAACATTTGCTGATTTTCTAATACTGATGTTTTCTTCACCTGAATATTCATCTTTTCTCACCCTACACTTAGTGGGTGTCTTTACTTATTTTTAACTTTACTCTTCTTCGCTCTTGACATATTGTTTCCTTCTGTACCTGTCTTCCTTTGAAAGAATCTGTTGTCATCAGAGCTTTTCTGCCAGTAACGCAAGATGGATAGCTTCTCCTCCGCTGAAAGATAAGGACCTGCGAAATGCCAGGGAGGACTGGAAGGGCAGCCAGGAAAGCTGGGAGGAGTCCGAGAATGTGTCAGTCTCGTAGATCTGTAGCTGTTGTTTAATAAATAGTCTTAGGACATGCTCTGTTTTGTAGAGTGACTCTCTTTTTCTTCTTCTAGTATCATTGAAAGTCATAGATTGAGGATTCACTTTTAAATTGCCTGAGCATTTCAGTACCGAGCACTTTCAGTTCACTTGTTAACAATTTATGAAGCTGTTGCCTCAGAGGAAAGGTGTACTTGACAGAAAGGTTTATTTGCAGCATTAAATTTTGCTTGGTTGTAGAAAGGGAGTCTTACAGTCTTTTTCACATGTTTATCTGGTCTTGAGAACAGTATTATAAGATAACTCTTCCCTTCTAAAATAAGTTTTTTTTTGTGTGTCGTTCTTTTTCAAAATGTTGTGTTATGCAGAGTTTTCTGCCACTTCATTTTTCCCCTCCCAGGGCCAGGAAGGGTTGGTGTGGTGAGGAGGCTCTCTGATGGACTGCAGCTTTATGTAAAGCAGCCAGGCATGGGGAACGTTTTCAGTCACCTTTCTACCCCCTGCCAGGAGAAGTCTGGCATGTCTCTCACTTTGCAATGTCTGCTTCACATTTGGTTGCCTAAATGTAAATAGCACATACTTGAGGCAGGTAGATATTTTGATTTGCCACGGTTGTGCGCCTTACTTTGTTTCTGATCTGCCATGTTCTCTCGCTCTGTAAACAAGGAGCCAATGGGGGGGTTTTGAGGCTAAAAATCTGCTGGACTTTGAGTAAAATGTAGTAATAGAATATAGTACTGATGGATCCCAACAAGAACTTTTAATTATTAAAGTATTTTTCATAGAAGTAGTCTCTCCCTGTGTGCTTCTGCATTTAATCCAGAGCTGGGATCCATAAGCCACAAGGACACCTTGTCTCTCTGGCAGTACCAAATTGGAGTTCTCCTTCTGCATGACGCTTGTGGCAAAATGTAGTCTTGGAAAGGAGAGATCAGGAATAACACTCCGTGCTTTCTGTTGACAAATTCTTTTTTTTAATGCAAAGAGTTTTGAGCACTGCTATATACTCAGGACAAAGGAAGGTGTTTTAGTCGGTATGGTAGAAGACAAATTACACTTCTCCTTTATTTGCTGTTCACATGTCTGTAATGCTGCTGATTATTGTGTTTTTAGGAAAATGTAATAACAATCTGAAGAAGTGTTGGCAAATGCATATTTTCTGAGAATTTTTCCAGAGTAGATAGCTGACAGCTTGTAGATAGCTGACAGCTTCGCATGTCTCAGACTGGTTCTCCTTTGCAATGTGGGATGGAGTCTTTGGAATCACTCAAAACTCCTTTTTCCAGAGTGGCAATTCAAAAGAATTTCCAATTTATTCCATTTCTGGGTATTTCTTATACCTCACTAATACCTATATACATGCTTATGGTGATAATTTTCTTATCTGTTTGATCCACCCAGTATTAAACTGTTATGGGCAGCTTACAACAAGCTTCATTTGAGAGAGTAAAGTAAGTATAATAACTTTTTACATTAGCTATGTTACATGAAAAAGGTGAACAGAGAGAGGAAACAAAGGCTGTTGCTGTTTGTTGCTGTTATTTTTCAGTCATCCAGTCTGTGAGTATGTCTTTGTTAATCACTGGATTTTAACTCTGTGCATTTTGCTGTTTTTCAGATATTTTGTCCTGCACAAGTTGACAAACCTGAAATTTCTCGATACTCGGAAAGTAACCAGGAGAGAGAGAGAGGAAGCCTTGGTGAGAGGTGCCTTCATGAAAGTGGTTAAGCCCAAGGATGCCAAGGTAGGAGAGTAAATGGAAGAAGTAAAACCAATGTGATTCATTAGCACTGTTTTAAAATAACTCCAAAAGCTTGGCTGTGTCTTGCGAAAGTAACAGACAAAACCTTTCAAATGAAGAGACTGGTAAATGTGGTCAGGTGAGGGACAAAAGCCTTAGTAATTTTTCTGTGGTTTAATATTAAACTTTACTGTCACATCTGGTTACTGTGCTGTGGTTATGTTATCAAATTTCTGGTGCCCAACCTCAGTTTCATATAACAAAGTAAGAAAAATGTGTCACTGAGCTTAAAAGAATATTTTTACCCTGTCTAAAGATATGTAACAACTGTGTGATATGCTTTTGGGAAAGAATGTAATTTTTCTGACAAGTTGTCCCCTGCCTTGTGTGTTAAACACAAATGTCTATCGCAGAGCTCACACCTATGGTGTTTATTGGCTTTTAGTGGACCAGCTGATTCTAATTTTGTATGATGTTACTTAACGCGGTGTCCTGCTAATAAGCATTGACAGCAGCAGAGAGACAGTTTCAGTAATCTGAGCTTCTGATACCACTTGCATTGGCTCTGGGCATTCTGCTGATGCAAACAGAATGCGGACGCGAGTTCTACACTTCATCTTCTTTTTCTGTTGTTGGTCAATACACAATAACAGCAATCTGAGCTTCAAAGTGTTTTAGTGCTGCAGATCGTTCTTAAAACTCCCCTCAAGTTTTCAGTCTACTTGCTTTCTCTTTGCTGTTTTGTTCTCTAAAATATGCCATCAATAATTTATTGCAGATTTCCAATAATGCTGAATAATAATGCAGCAGTTATGGAAATACACTTTTTGGTAGCATAACAGTGTTGCTAGATAAATGCATTATCACAAGTACAGTTGCAGGGCATAACAAATGAATTCAGACCGATTCATTTGTAACTACTAAAATGTTAACCATTCGGATACAAGCATAGCTTTGATGTATCATTTACCACTGCCTATAGTTATTTCAGCTTCATACATGTAATAAATGAAATAATTTATTTCTAAGCTGTTGTGGATATCTTATTCACAGCAAACCATCTTTGCTGAATCTGGCCAAACGTAACAGCTGAAATGTGGTAGATAGAGAAACATTGTCTTCTTTTATAATTCTTATCTAATCAGATTTTGGAGCTGGTGAAGCGGTTTTTAAATTTTATTAGCAATTAAAAATTTTTAGACTTTTCATTTAAGAGTCTGCTCTTTGGATTTTAACCAATTTAATAGTGTAAGAGAGGAAAAAAGTATCTCTTTCTCAAATTTGAAGTTCCTTTTCTGGATGAAACCTCTTTTTAAGTCAATAGCTAATGGTACATTACTTTGCAGACGTAGGGATAACATCTTCATCTTTTATATCTGTAATTGAACCTCCTGTATAATTTTGAGTTATTTACCCACTAAGTCTTATGAGAAAACATACGTTTATTTCAGCAAATTTGCAGAAGGCTCAAATTTACTGTTGTTATTGCCATACTAAAGTTTTTTTTTCTTTATAAATGGTTTGATAGAAGTTGCTGATGGCAAAATCATTGTAAATGCTTTTCATGGCATGAATTAATGCTTCTTAAGGTGCTACAAAATTACCCTCATCATGCAATATTATATGCATATTACAGAAGTGGCTAATTTAAAATAAATATGAAATTGGATGTAGAGCAGATATTATAAACCTCTTAAAATTGTTTTGAATTTGTACTTGCTTCCTAGGATATTTATGCTTATAGTACACGTGCACGCAAACTCTTTTTATGTGTGAGAACACTCACAGAGTCCTGTCTGCATATGTGTTTTCAGATGCAGATATGTATGTATATAGCTATTTATAGCTACACTCAAAGATCGTAACAAGCAGCATTCCTCTATATATCACAAAGATGATATGCGCAATGTGGTACTTTCAAATTCTATCATATCTTATATATTGAATGCATAATGGGTTTTTTTATTCTTCAGCCTTCAGGTTTCCTGACTCTTGTGCTTTCTGTCTGTTCATCGATTCCCTTCCCATATAGTTGTTGAGACTGTTGACCAGCTGCAGCCAAATTTAGCAGACCGCTAGTGGTAATATATTCTAAGCAATCTGAAACTAGCTAGAGAAGAATACACCTTGATCCAAAGTAAGAGGAAGACTGCAGCACATGCACTATTGATCATCAGAAGAACTCCTGAAGAGGTTGACCCAGTGATATAAGACCCTGCTGGTAGTGAACTTCCTAAGAATGGTTTTTTCATTTCAAGGTAGTAGCCACTGTGTCAGCCTATGTTTGCTGGGAGTGGAGTTGGAGTGATCAGTATTTCTGTTGGTGGAGGCCACATGGAAATGCTGTTCTGCCAGAACAGTTACTGTAGTAACAGCAGTGAGCCTAACAGACTTGCTTTTTCAGAAAGACACCCAAAAAATCCTAAGCTAGGTGGGGTTTTTTTTTCCCCCATTATGATAAGCAGGAGATGGTATGGCTTATTCAGCATAAAAAGCAGACTGATGATCTAAAGAGGCTGTGATGTGGGGAGTTGTTTTCATTTTAGTCTTGACATGAAATACTTGGAGAGCAAAATACCCCACCAAGAAAAAATACACAAAATGAGAATAAAAGCAAGAAATTTCCATCTGACTAGCTTGTGTTTACTCAAATGCAAAAGTATCTAGCAATCACCAGTCATCACTAAGTCATAAATATTTTATTTTGTATAAATTTTTTTACTTTCATTTTTCCGTATTTTTCCATATTTTTTTAACAGAACGCTGCGTTTTCTTGTGCTTTGCTTCATTTCATCCTTTGTTTAAAATGCATCTGTTTGTGATATGACTGTCTTAGGGAAAGATGCAGTCATTTATAAGAAAACAGTTTAGCATTACAATGCAGTGTTCCATCTTGCTATGTAAGTGAGCTAAACTTCATTATTCTGTGTTGTTTATGTTTTCTTTTGTCAAAATATTGAACAGTGTATCATGCCTGATTTTAATAAAGATTGGGTAAGCCTGGCTGGGCAAGAGGCATTGAGCCAGATGAGGAAACCTGGTTTAATGACCAGACCATGACCTCATTTCACTGGCGTAAGCGTAGATCAAAGTGGAAGATGCCTGTCCAGTGCGAAGTGTGTTTCTGGGCATGACAGCACTTCACATCAGAAAGACAGCTCAAGAGTACGACAGTCAAAATTGCTTAATTATGTCCCAGCTTTGTAATTATTCATCCCTGCTTCTGCAAAGAGTACAGTTGTCATTTCTTGACATAATTATTTAAAACCGTACCCTTCTTTTGTTTATAGATATATGAATTTTGCTTCCAACTGTTTCATCTTTAAATCTTGGAGATGCAAAACAGAACGTGATTTGAGAATACATTTTAGGACTCCATTTTTTTACATTGCATATGATATAAATAAACAAAACGAAATTATGTTGTATCAAAGCACATCATAATTTCACATTTTAAAGGCCTAGATTCACGATCATTTAATCTATGTGATAAAATGTGATATATCCATTGCATCTAAAGTGTCCTGTTATGAATAGGTACACACTATCACAGGTCTCTTTAAATATAAATTTAATTCCTTATTACTGGCTCAGTGCATTTGCTTTTATAAAATACCTGTATTTCATGGTATTTTGCAACCCCTCTGCCCAACAACTATTTTTTAGCTTACTACATTTTTAAGGTTAACTTTTTTATCCATTTTATTTATAGTGGCAAAAGTAAGCAGTGGGCATTTGGTCACATGCAACAGTCTTGTACCTTACAGGATCAAATCATCAGAGGGTGTCCATGGGTCTACTTCCAAGTAGCTGACTTCATATTTTGTGGAGTTATTCTGCTTTCTTGCAACTTTGCCAAAAGCATCTTGTCCGCTGGGTATAAGGGAAAGTCTGTACAACAAAAGATAGCAGTATAGGTGTTTTGAATGTTTTTCTCCCTTGGATGCATTGTTTTCATCCCAACTTATAATTATAAAACCTGACACAGTATTTGTTCTCTAAGGAACTAAAATGGAGACACTTAAGCAGAAAGGCAAGTCTAATATCTGCATTCCATGTAATCAGTGGATGTGATTCTTGCTCACACTGTTACTTGGAGGGTAGAGGGAGATGATTTTATTATGATAGGAAGAGTAAATATTTAGGCAGTACAGCTTAAGAAGTAAGGTGAGCTAAAATCTACGGTGTTGTTTTCAGGTCATTGTCAGTATTCTTGTGTTTAAGCTCATAGGAAAAGTGCAGTATCAAAGTGACGAAAGCGGATACATGCTTTTTCAAGTTCTATTAAAATCAGGTGAGGCATAAGGAGTGATTTTAGTAATTTTTGTCCTTAGCAATTTAACAAGAATAATATTTTTCTTAAATAAATATATCTGATCTGCTTTCAAGAATTTAGGCAAGGCATTTTTGCTGATGCATCTCATGGACCTTTTCTCAGCCTTCCTAAATGAGGAGAGTGGGGCTGGTTTTATAAACTAAATAAAAGGTGACACAGAAACCTTTGGAGAACATCTGCATAGCTCACAATTTTTTTCCTTTTACCAGCACCATTGCGTAGAGATCTTGGCTTATGAACTTACAGTATTTGAAGTAGATAGAGAGCAAAGCGCTTTTAAAGTGTAAAGAATCATTGTGTCAACAAACTGCTAGCTAGTAAGATGCCTCTTTGAGCAAGCTTCTACATATTAGGGTTTCTTATCGTCCAGGTGTCAAGGTTTCATGTACTAAAAAGGAACAATGTCACGAATTTAAGACTCCAGCTTAGACTGTGATGCAGGAAATAATACTGACTTCAAAGGCATTGTGGCAGTCATGCTACTATTTGGCACACTGCAGTATCCATTTTGCTTTCTGGGAGGTTGAAGTATTTTAAGCAAGACTCCGTAACATAATTGGCTTGTAATCCCCTAATCACTTGCCCAAAATTAGGAATCAAGAATAAGTGGAAAAAAAAAAAGAAGTGCAAGAATTTATATTTCTATGTATGAACACTATGGTGGTTT